GGTGATCAGGGTCACCCAGCTGTTCCTCCAGGCCCAGCACTGCCTCTACCTGACCTTCCCTCGGGCTCAGCATAACCTCCAGGGCAGCCCTTCCCCGCCAGCCTCTGCATCACGTGGGGTGAACTCTGGGGACTGGGGCTCCCTTGTGTGCTGTGTGTTGGAACCTGAATCTGTGCCATGTGTTGTTCGTACTGTTCTTTGTCCTGCTCTGGCCAGGTGCTGAGAACCCAGCGAGGAGCCTCAGAAGGAGCCCCCTGCCTGTCTGAGCAGAGGGCCTGCGTAGCAAAGGCTGCTGCGCCCCTGGGCATCCTGAGGGGGGTTCGATGGCACCACCTTCCTTTTCTGAATACTGCCTGGTGTGGCCACACGGGCCCCCTAACTGGGACTGCATTGCCCTTCTCAGGGATGTGCCCTTCGCAGCTGGATGAGATTTGTGGGGTCCTTTTTCTGAATACTGCCTGGTGTGGCCACACGGGCCCCCTCACTGGGACTGCATCGCCCTTCTCAGGGATGTGCCCTTCTGCCGCTGGATGAGATTTGTGGGGTCCTCGCCCCTCCACACATCTTCTCTGACCCTTTCTGAGGGAACCCACCCCGGGAACCACCCATGTCCTCTCAGCAGACCACTGACATAGCAGAGTTGACAAACCCCACAGGGAAGTCCTTAGTCCCCAACCTCGCTGGACTCTCAGCCCCTGAGCAGGGATGGGTTCAGTGTTCAATGTGATAAATACTGTATCTTGTTTTGTTTAAATTGCATCTCCCAGATAATGTGAAAATGGTCCAGGAGAAGGCAGCTTCCTGTCTGCAGTGTGCTTTCTTAATAAGTAACAATTCTTTTTGAGAAACAATTTCTACTTTCATATCCATGAAAAGATGTACTGTATATGCACTTATAATTGTTCTAATAAAGACATGTACTCAAATGCAGCAGCCGACCGGCTTGAAAATTAGTGTTAGCATTTGGAGTTTTCGGGACTTGGTTTTCCTCCCTCAGGCCCTAGGGGCATGTAATTCTAGCTGCAGTGGTGAGTGGAAAACAGGCCATTGTAATGCTAAACATGAGCCAGAGCTCTGGGAGCTCACCTGCCCCCCTCCTCCACTGACCCTGAGCTGGGAAAGCTGCACCCTCTCCCCAGGTGTCCTTGGCTTTGCTGGAATTCCCTCTGAAAGGCAGGTCAGCCCTCTGCTCAGAAGGGATGGCTTTGGGCGAGGGCCCTGGTGTTTGCTGGCGGCTGTGGGAAGGAGACCTCCACCCTGGGCTTGTCAGGCTTTAGTGGGAGACAAACAGGCCCGTCCCTGAGGGCCCTGCCGAGGACCCCGCACCAGAGCCTTTCTTCCCGCACAGGGGCCCTCTGGAAGCCAGGCCCTGACTCTCTCAAGGGCTGCCCAACACCATCCTGGACTCCACGCAGCGCTGACCGGCAGGGCTCTGTCCTCACGGAGGTCAGCCCTTCCCACTTTCTACCTCATTCTCTCTGGTCCACAGTCAACCATGGTGGGAAGGAAGGCCCACACAAACACCACCGATGTCTGAGCCCAGGGCGTTCTGTCCTCCAGACTCTCTTGTCCCAGGCTCAACGCGACCGCGTCACCACTGAGCCCAGATCCTCCCTCCTACGTACAGGGTGACCACAGTGTGGTTGCCAAGGTGCAGGATGGACTGGAGGACCAGAGAAGGGTTAGAGGAGGCCACAGTGAGCTGCATCGTGGTGTCCTGAGACAAGCGTTGCTGTGAAGGCTAGTAGGCCAGTGCTTGAGTCCTGGTCTCTCTGCTCACCCTGGGATTTGAGACACGTGTCCTGAGACAAGCGTTGCTGTGAAGGCTAGTAGGCTTGTCTCTCTGCTCACCCTGGGATTTGAGACAGGCCCCTTGCCTTGAGTCTCAGTCTTGGCTCCCAGCTGGGACCCTAGGCTTAGTAGCACCAGGAGACATGAGGGTTAGACTGGAACAGTGTGCATGGCAGCCATTTCCCCCCTCTCAGCCTGCTGTCCCCTAGGGTTCACCGCACTGGAATCAGTCCACACCTGCCTCTACTTCAACCTCAGAGAAGCTCAGACACCAACTAGCTATGAGTGACTCAACTTGAGCTTCTCACTCGCAGCTGACAGGTGGGGAGAAGCCTCTTGACTGGGGTTTTGTAGGTTCCCGAGAGCCTGTGCCGTGCTGGTCCACACACTCTACCACTGTTCTAACCCTAGGAATGAGCAATCTCTGGGTTAACTTTTCAGAATGAGGTAGACTCTTCACAATGACGTAGCATCCTATATAATAAAGAGCTAATATGCTAATTAGACTGAACAATAGAATGACTGTCCGCAACCTTCCAGATGAAGCTGGGGGCTGTGAGGGCCGAGCCCCTTGCATGAATTTCTTGCATCGGGTCTCTAGTTAAAAATAAAGTCCCTGGTCTTTCATGCCCTGCATGGCTGCTGGCCCTTACTGTTCTAGTCAGTTGATAGCTGCCATGCCAGGCCTGTTCTAGGTGGTGTGGGGTGTGGAGACTTCGGTGGACAAGACAGCTTCCTCCCTGACTTCATGGACCTTGCAGTCAGGGGGTGGACTTACAGCTCAGTGAGCATTTTCCTAACGCATGCTAAGGGTGGGGAAGGAGTCAGAGAAGCTAGAATGCCATCCAGCCCTGGTGAAGCTGAGCCCTGAGGTGAACAGGTTCTTTTGGGGGTGACCTGACCCACAGGGACTGCCAGTGAGAGCCTATGTGAGGCCGAGCTCTGAGTTAGAAACAGGAGTTACTTCTGCCAGAGGTGCAGCTCCCATGGGAGCCCAGTTTTCTGCCCAGGAGCACCGTGCTGGGGTTCAGACCTCTTCAGGGCCCAAGGCTTCTCTGCTTACGCTGAGACCCTGGATAGGGAAGTGTGGGTAGTAGAGACAGAGGAGCAGAGGGAGCTACAACTGGATGAAGTGGGTTTGGAGAGAGAAGTGGGGATGAGAGACCTGTTAGCTCTAGAGGGAGGTGAGATGGGGCTGCCCACAGGGGAAAGGAGTGGCTTGGAAGGTCCCTTGAGTGGTCCAGCTGTTTGTCCTTCTCTTGGGGTCTGTATATTCTAAAAAATTCCTGATTGAAAGCTAAAATGAGGATTTCTGCTCATTGCACCCACATATCCACACCAGGGGCAATTAGGCAGGCAGAGTGGACAAGGCAGGTGGGGCAGAAGGAGGCCGTGGGCTGGTGCACACAATTATATTGGAGACTTCCTAACCACTTTTCCCTGCCCAGCCTCCCCAAGGGTCTTTTTGCCTGTTTTCTTGGTTTCAATTGAACTCCAAGGAAAGACCATTCAGAGATGTGCCTGCTTCCCTGTTAGGATTGGTAAACGACTCAGAGGCATCCCCTAAAGCAGTGATGGCGAACCTTTTGAGCTCGGTGTGTCAGCATTTTGAAAAACCCTAACTTAACTCTGGTGCTGTGTCACATGTAGAAATTTTTTGATATTTGAGGGATGGAAAGCAGTTTCAGCAGCAAAGAACCCGTCATCTCTGATATCGATTTAGATAGAAAAAGAACAGAAACAATTCATGACCAAAAAGAAGCTGAAGTCTGCAAGGCTCAGGGGAGCCAAGTTTCCTAAGGGCAGAGAGAACCCCTTGGCTTGGCTCCCTAGGAAAGTGATGGTGAACCTTTTGAGCTCGGCGTGTCAGCATTTTGAAAAACCCTAACTTAACTCTGGTGCCGTGTCACATATAGAAATTTTTTGATATTTGCAACCATAGTAAAACAAAGATTTATATTTTTGATATTTATTTTATATATTTAAATGCCATTTAACAAAGAAAAATCAACCAAAAAAATGAGTTCACATGTCACCTTTGACACGCGTGTCATAGGTTCACCATCACTACCCTAGAGCCTCCCCATAAAGGTACACAGATTTGGTTTATGGCCTAGACGCTCTTCCCCCCTGGAAGGGACCCGCCAACACCAACCCAACTTGCCCAACATCAGTTGTGAGATGGCTGGACCATGGCCAGCCTGTGGGGCACTTTGACCCAGCTCCAGGTGTGTGGAGGGGTCATGGGGTCTGCCCCATGGGCTGTGCATCCCATGAGGAAAACAAACCGGGACAAGCAGTTGTAGGCACGTCCATCCCTGGGGCAGGTCCTGCCAGGCTGTAAGCTCCTTACTGTCTTACTGGGGACGGGGAGCTTTGTTCCCAGTGCCCTGAAGAGTGCTTGTCTTGGTGGGGGCTTAATCAGCATTTGAGGAGCAAGCTGATTCCTCAGGTTGAGCGGCATCCACAGGCCCTTGGGAGGCAGCCACCCGGCAAGACACAGCCAAGCCCTGGTGCTCCTACCCGACGCTGGAGCTACTCTCAGATTTCAAGGAGGTTGCTCTAAGTTCTCAGGAGTTAACATTTCCTTTAGAGCAAATGAGTTGCATCTAAACTCTTGGCCCATGAAACTAAACAGAAACAAAGCAGAGTGAAGCCGCTTACACCTTTGGCCCTTCTGTTTCTCCTGTGAACAGAGGGGGAGAGAGGAGTGGCAAGAGGTGCTCATGAAGTGGGAGGCTGAACGGGAGGAGCCCTGGACTTGTAGCCAAAGTGAGTCTCTGCTCATTGCTGGGCGATCCATCCCCGTAAAGTCTAACTCAGTCACTCTACTCCGGCACCTCTGCAGCTGACAAGCGCTCAGGAAAAGTGCATCTCTGCTGTCTGGTCTCTGAATTCGTGACACTCACCAGCAGTGCATCCTCAGTGCTGCCGGGATCCTCCAGCACAGCTCTGTCCTGTTTGCTCCTCTTTTAGGTGCTCATTGCACCCTTTCTTCTCTCTCTCAGAGCCACAGTTTAGAGAGATGCTGCCGGGATCCTCCCGCACAGCTCTGTCCCACTTGCTCCTCTTTTAGGTGCTCATCGCACACTTTCTTCTCTCTCTCAGAGCCACAGCTGTTTTTTTAGAGAGAGGGAGAGGGAAAGAGAGAGAAACATCAATGTGAGAACAAAACATTGATCAGCTACCTCCTGCACTCTCCCCACCAGGGATCAAGCCCCAACCTGGGCATATGCCCTGACCAGGAACCGAACCGGCAACCCCTCAGCGCATGGCATGATGCCCAGCCTGGTCTGCCTTCTATGTCAGAATAAAAGGGAGTCATAAGAATGGGATTTCCATGGGCTTCGCCTCTCATCCACTGTCTGTTCAATCTGTATCCACCGTCTCTGCCGTCACCCGCATGAGCGCCGTGGTCCGGGCCACCCTGCACTGGGAAGTGGAGCCCAGGACGCCTCACCTTCCCAAGGACATCTCTCTTGACTCCCCCTCTCTCCGTCACCAGAATTATGTTTTACTTTCTATGTCAGCACACAAACATACATATCTCCCATCAAAAGTAAAAACGAAGTAAAAATAAAAAGTCCTAGTCTCTATCCTTCTATTCCATGCTCCCCTACAGCTTCTGCAGCATTTCTCTGCTTCTCTTCACACAAGGTTCTCAAAGGAATTGCCCACATTGTCCCCTGCTCTCTCGCTCTCTCTCATTCTTGACCCCAATTCCAGCAGAATTTGACCCTACCTCTCACTCCACTAAACTGCTCTTTGTCAAGGTCATCACTAAGCTCTGTGGGGAAATCCAATAGTCCCAGCTTACTCAGTCTCTCGGCATCTTTTGAATCATTGATCACCATCCTTGAAACACATTTTCTGGTTGGCTCTCAGCACCACCCTTGACTGTTCCTTTGGCTTCATACAATCTTTTTCTGTTTGTTGTTTCCTGCTCATCCTCCAGACAGCTAAACAAAAGACGGCACCAGGCTCAGTCCTCAGACGTTCTCCTCTAGCTCAAGGTGGGCGCGTTCACTCCCTTGGCCTTGAACACCATGTAAAGACTAAGGAATCCAGAGTGATCTCTCTCTTAGACTCCAGGCTGGTACACCCAGCTCCTCCTCTAAAATGTATCATATGCAAAATAAAATGCCTAATTTTCACCCCCCGCCCCGCAACTGCCCATCCCCATTTCTGCAAATGACAATTCCATCCCTCAAGTTGCTCAGGCTGAAACCGTATAGTCATCTTTATTTTATTCCCTCACAGCTCTGCGCTAAACCATTAACAAACCCAATTAGTTATCTTAAAAATATACCCAGAACCCAGTCACTTCTCATGGCTACCATCTTGGTCCAAGCCACAGCTGTTTTCTACTTGAATCTCTGCACTAGCCCTTGAGCTGGCCCTTTGTCAAGTCCTGGGAGATCCTCTCCACAGCAGCAGGAGTGTAACCCCTACTCAGACCTTCCAGTGGCCAACAGAAATTACACTCCCTGGCCCCCATCACCTATCTGACGTCACCCCTTCTCTGTGCCAGCCGCACTGGCCTCCTCTCCCTTGAACAGGTCAGGCCCACCCGTGGCAGAGGTTTTTTGTACTGGGTGGTCTCTGCCTAGAACTACGGTTTACCTCCTCCCTTCCTTTAGTCTACACTCGCCATCACCTTCTTAGAAAAGTCTTTGCAGACTTCCCCGTCCTGAACAGCAGCCCCCCTGTCTGACATGCCCTGACCACCTTATTCCGCTGCTCTCCTCCCTAGCACACCTGTCATGTCTACTTGTTTGCTGACTGCTTCCCCACAAAGAGGACTAATAGCAAATGCTGGAAGAAAGGGGCTTAGTCTGTTTTGCTCACTAGTTTTCTTTGTGAATTGCACTCTGAAGGCACTAAAGACATATTTCCTAATGATTTCCCAATAAATTAACAGGACGTTAACACATCGGAACCCTTCTTTGCTCATCTCTAAAATAAAAATAGCTAAGTTCATTCCACAAGACTGTACACTTATTTCCATACTCAGGGTCACACTGGTAAGTCATTACTTGGACCCAAATTCATCTTACTCCAATGTTTACATATCAGGGGTCACACACACTGTCCCTTTTCTAGAATCCTCTAGGAATCTCCAGAACGTGACAAAGGATAATGGTTCTTTTCATGTGAGCCAAGATTAAAGACTCACTCATCCCACATCATGCTCAATGGTGAAAGACTGACAGCTTTTCCTCTAAAATCAGAAAAGACAAAGGAGCCTACTCACACCACTCTTATTCACATAGTACTAGAAGTCTCAGCTAGAGCAATTGGGCAAGTAGGAGAAATAAATTATCAGGATTGGAAAGGAAGAAATGAGATTGTCTCTATTTGCAAATGACATGGTTTTATATATAGAAAATCCTGAAGACTCCACCCAAAAAATTGTTCGTTTTAACCAATTAATTCATTTATTGGCTTACTCAGTAAAGTTGCAGGATACAAAATCAGGAATGTTTTTATACACTAATAATGAATTTTCTAATAAAGAAATTTGTCCCATTTATAATAACACCACAAACAATAAAACCAGGAATAAATTTAACTAAGGAGGTAAAAGATCTCTACTCTGAAGGCTACATGATATTGTTGAAGATACAAATAAATAAAAAGGTATCCCATGTTCGTGAACTGGAAGAATGGATATTGTTAAAATGTCAATGCTACCAAAAGCCATTTATATAGTTGATGCAATCCCTACCAAGATTCCAATGGTTTTTTACAGAAGTAGAAAAATTTATATGAAACCATAAAAGATCCCAAATAGCCAAATAAATGCTGAGGAAGGAGAACAAAGCAGGAGACATCAAACTTTTGATTTCAACCTATGCTATAAAGCTGCAGTCATCACAACAGTATGGCACTGACACGAAAACAGACAAATAGATTAATGGAATGGAATTAAAAGCCCAGAAATAAACCCACACATATACAGTTAACTAATATTTGACAAGGAGGCCAAAAATACTCAATGGAGAAAAGATAGTCTTTTCAATAAATGATGCCAGGATAATTGGATATTCACATGTAGAAAAATGAAACTGGACCCATAACTTACACTATTCATAAAAATTAATTCAAAATGGATCAAATACTTAAATTTAAGACTTAAAGCCATGAAATTCTTAGAAAAAAACATAGGACTAAAGCTTCTTGATATGAATCTTGGTAATGCTTTTTTGGAACCTTTCTTTGGACACCTCTAAAATAAAGATACCCATACTCACCTCACAAGGTTGTGCATTTATTGGCATACTCAAGGCCACACTGACATCTAAAGCACAAGCAACAAAATAAAAATAAACAAGGGGGACTATATAAAACCAAAAAGCTTTTTCACAGCAAAAGAAATCAGCAAAGTGAAAAGACAACCTATGAAATGAGAAAATGTATTTGCAAACCATATATCCAAAATACATAAAGAACTTATACAACTCAGTAGCAAAATAATAAATAAAAATAACCCAATAAAAAAATAGACAAAGGACCTGAATAGACATTTCTCAAAAAAAAAAAAAGCAATAAATACAAAAGACCAACAGGTTCATGAAAAGTTACTCAACATCACCCATCGTTAGGAAAATGCAAATTAAAATCATGAGATACTATCACATCTTTTAGAATGGCTACCATCAAAAAGACAAGCGATAACAAGTGCTGGTGAGGATGTGGAGGAAGGGAGCCCTCATGCACTGTTGGTGCAATGTGATTGGTGCAGCCACTATAGACAACAAGTGAGAGGTTCCTCAAAAAATTAAATATATAACTACCACATGATGCAGCAATTCTACTTCTGGGAATATGTTCAAAGGAAAACACTAACTTGAAAATTATCTGCACCTCATTTCTTAGCAGTGTTATTTACAATAGGCAAGACATGGAAACAACATAAATACCCATGAATGAGTGGATGAATAAAGAAGCTGTGATAGCCATAAGTATAATGGAATGTTATTGAGCCATAATTGGTTAAAAAACAACAACACACAAATTAATAGAAAAAGAGATCAGAATCGGGGTTACCAGAGGCAGAGGTTGGGGGAGGGAGATTGGAGGAAGGTAGTCAAAAGGCCCAAACTCCAGTATAAGATAAGTAAGTCCTGGGGATGTAAGGTACAATATGATGACTATGGCTACCGCTGCAGGATGACACAGAGGACAGTTGTTAGGAGTGTAATCCTATGAGTGCACAAAAACTTGATGTTTTCCTCTTTTCTTTTTAAATATATATTTTTTACTGGTTTCAGAGAGGAAGAGAGAGACAGAAACATGAATGATGAGAGAGAATCATTAATTGACTGCCTCCTGCACGCCCCCAACTAGGGATTGAGCCTGCAACCCAGGCATGTGCCCTTGACAGGAATCAAACCTGGGAACCTTCAGTCAGCAGGCCAATGCTCTATCCACTGAGCCAAACCAGCTAGGGCATCTTTTCTTTTTTTCCTTCTTTTCTCTTTATTGTGTCTATATGAGAAGATGATGTTAGCTGGACCTATTGTGGTAGTCATTTCACTATATATATATAAATCAAATCATCATGCTTTATGCCTAAAACTTATACAGTGATGTATATCAATTATTTCTCAACTAGAGGCCTGTTGCACGAAGAGATCCTTGCAATAGGCTTTCCCTTCCCCTGGCTGCCGGCACCAAATTTCCTCAGGCACCCGGGACCCAGGCCTTCACTCCGGCCAGAGCCACCTTCGGTCTTCGCTCCGCCGCTTTGCGCCTACGTATGCAAATTAACCGCCATATTTGTTAGGTTAATTTGCATACTCTCCTGATTGGCTGGTTAGCGTAGCGAAGGTACAGCCAATTTACATGTTTGTCTATTATTAGGTAAGATAAAACTGGGGTGAGGGTGGGGGGAGGATCATCCCTTCCCCCAGAGGCACCTCCTTCTGAGTGCTCCTCCCCGTGTAAGGACCCGCACATCCTTCCTGTGCAGACCTCAGGGTGGTCAGTGCTGGGCTGGGGTCGAGGGGGCACAGCTACAGCCAGTGCAGCTGCCCAGGATGAGAGCTCTGTTGTCATCTAGGCCTTTGGGGCAGGGGACACAGCCTGGGCCCTAGAGGAGCAGGAATCCAGCCAGGGATGCTGCCAAGTGTAAAAGGGCAATTAACGAGATCCGCTACTGGAAACCAAGGCTGTGCCTTCCACAAATGACTCATGGGAATTGGCAGAGTAGGGACTGCAGCACAGGCCTGCTCCACACAGGGTCCCTGCCTGGCTTCTAGGAGACCCCACACCTTTCCCATGATCCTGCCAGATGAAGGCCTCAGTCCACCTGCTGCTGCTGACAGCCAGCCCCAGGC